ACAAGAAGGCCAGGGATGAAACAGAAAAGGCCTGGAAGCTGTGAGGCAGGAAAGTTTTGCCGGCTGCAGGGGCTGGGAGGGCCCTGGTGGGCCCCAGGGCAGAGGGTGTGCAGGGAGCTGGAGAACCTTGGGGAGGGAGGGGGACACAGCCTGCACTACCATTTAGCTTAGCACAAGGATGAGAAAATGGATTCCGAGCAAGTTTTAGGAAATGAGGAAAGTTAAAGAGCCTCTTGATGAAAGTGAAAGAGGAGCGTGAAAAAGTTGGCTTACAGCTCAACATTCAGAAAACTAAGATGGGGAAACAGTGGGAGACTTTATTTTTGGGGGCTCCAAAATTGCTGCAGATGGTGACTGCAGCCATGAAATTAAAAGACTGTTACTCCTTGGGAGAAAAGTTATGACCAACCTAGACATTATATTAAAGAGCAGAGACATTACTTTCTCAACAAAGGTCCATCTAGTCAAGGTATGGTTTTTCCAGTGGTCATGTATGGATGTGAGAGTTGGACTAGAAAGAAAGCTGAGTGCCGAAGAATTGATGCTTTTGAAGTATGGTGTTGGAGAAGACTCTTGAGAGTCCCTTGGACTGCAAGGAGATCCAACCAGTCCATCCTAAAGGAAATCAGTCCTGGGTGTTCATTGGAAGGACTGATATTGAAGTTGAAACTCCCATACTTTGGCCACCTTATGTGAAGAGCTGACTCATTTGAAAAGACTCTGATACTGGGAAAGATTGAAGGTGGGAGGAGAAGGGGACGACAGAGGGTGAGATGGTTGGATGGCATTGCTGACTCAATGGACATGAGTTTGAGTAAACTCTGGGTATTGGTGATGGACAGGGAGGCCAGGCGTGCTGCGGTCCATGGGGTCGCAAAGAGTCAGACACGACTGAGTGACTGAATTGAACTGAACTGAAAGAACAAAGGAAAGAAGGTTCTGGCTTGAGCTTTGCCACTGAAGTATGGCTAATTGGATTTGGCCGAGGGCCACTTGGGGAAAGCCAGGGTGGGGACCCGTTTTGAAGATAGCTCCCCAGCAGCGTGGGTGTTCTGATGTCATTCTGGATGGGTTCCAATGTTGTCTGTGCCAGGCGCCGTGGCACACGAGGCTCATGGAGAGGCCCTGCAGTGTGTGAGTAGTCATTTCCCTGAAGGAGGTGTGCCCTCTGGGACAGTGAGGAGGAGATGCTGCTGGGTGGAGATGCTGGTGGGAGGGGAGGAATGGGTGTTCTGCGGAGGAGGACCACTCTTGGAGGAACTGGCTTGGAGGGAGGGCTTACTTGGCAGTGACAGAATTGTTAAACAAACGATTGACCAATTGGAGTCAGTGCGAATTGACTCGGGTCTCCCTGTCTAGCTATTTTGTTGAGGTGGGGACACATACTTTAGCAACCTGTCAGCATGCCATGTGATGGAAGTGAAAATCTTCATCCCTTGATGGTATCCAGAGGGCTTGGCTTGGCTTTCTGAAATTTGGGGCAGTGAAGGGCTTGGTGAGGGTCCTTAAATCAAGAACCATGGGGAAAGAAATCTGCCTAGTTGAGCACCGTTATCTGTTTTTTGCTGGGGCTTACATGGGAATTACTCCAAGAGCGTTGCCGCTGTTCTTTGTCTGACCGGACTTGGTTGTGTTCAGAGCATCACTGACCGTTTCAGTTGATCCCTCAGCAGCCCAGGTGAGTGTTGTTATCTCCAGGTGTTATCCGCATTTGCTGCAGGCCAGTGTGGAGAAGTTCTGTGGCTAGTTGAAGCTCCTGCAACCAGAACATGGCACATTAAAAAAAATGTGATAAATGCATGCAAGATAAAATTTTGCCACCTTGACCATTTTTAAAGCATACGGTTCAGTAGTGTGAGATACATTCACATTGTTGTAGAGTCAGTTTCCAGAACTCTCTTCATCCTACGTTTGTGTGTAATTAAACAATAACTATCCACTCCCATGCTGCCCCTGGCAGGCATCGGGCCACTTGGTTTCTCCCTGAATTTAAGTACTTCCTGTAAGTGGAGTCCTGCAGTATTTGTCCTTTGTGACCACACTATTTTACACTCCCACCAGCAGTGTGCAAGGGTTCCAGTTTCTTCACATCCTTCCCAACACTTATTATTTCTTCCACTCTCCTCTCCCCCTTCCCTCCTTTCCTTCTTCTAATAGCCATCCTAATATATGCGAGGTCACATCTCATTGTAGTTTTCATTTGCATTTCCCTGACAATTCGTGATGTTGAGACACTTACCCAGGCAAGCAGTTTTAAAGAGGGCCTTTCAGGGAATGCTAATTCCCTGGGCATTTTCTGTAGGGAAGGCTGCTGCAGCTGCTGCTGGTAAGTCGTTTCAGTTGTGTCCGACTCTGTGCCCATAGACGGCAGCCCACCAGGCTCCCCTGTCCCAGGGATTCTCCAGGCAAGAACACTGGAGTGGATTGCCATTTCCTTCTCCAAGGCATGAAAGTGAAAAGTGAAAGTGAAGTCGCTCAGTCTTCGAGACCCCATGGACTGCAGCCTACCAGGCTCCTCCATCCATGGGATTTTCCAGACAAGGAGTACTGGAGTGGGGTGCCATCACCTTCTCCGTGTAGGTAGGAGACTGTAGGATAAAGGGCCAAGCATGTTTCAAACTTGTATAGTGGTGATGCTCACAGATCTGTACTTTTGTTTTGGAAGGAAATTGAGACCTAGAGATATTAAGGGTTATGGAGATGCTGAACTGGAGGGGATGAAGTGGAGTGAGGCCATAGTTGAGACCTGGGGTCTTCAGGACCACTGCTGAGACTGGAATCCTGGACTGGGGTTATTTAGAGATGCCAGGAGGCCAGGGTGAGCAAAATCTGAAGCTCAGTCTCTCTTATGGCTTCTTTGATAATCCAAAGATTCAACAAAGAATTCTTGAGCATCTCTTTACCTGTATTATGCTAGGAATAACGCAATAAATAAGAGAAATGTGGTCTCTGCTTTCATGAGTGATTATCATCTGGCTTTGGAAATTTCCTTACCCTGGCAAAATCAGTAGATGATATTCATCTTTGGGCTGACACATAATTGGTTTGAATAAGGTTTTTTAGTCTTTTGTACAGTTACTGTTTTTTCCATCAATAACTTGTAGAGGGATAATTTGAGACTATGTAAATATCATAATTCACATTAAACTTTCACACTAGTTTTAACTTCCATTGATCATTTTCTGACTTCTATTGTTCCCTCTATATTTGTTTCTGTTCTAGAATGCAGACTTTCCCTTCTCCTATTTACGAAGCAGTCATGGATTTTTTTCATTATTTAATGGGTTATCACTCATTGACACTTAATATCCCAGCATCCCAGATTTGGCTAGCAAGAGTACCTCAGGCTGGCTTCTTTGTCCTTTTGACACATCCTTATGATTCCTTAAGCTGTTTATCTTATGAGGCGAGTTGTCCCAAGCTTATCTTATATTTTCGATGCCTGTTGGTCTCAGCCTATCAATCGTGATGCTGCTGCTGGGAATGCCTGGGGCTCTGCTCACCTGGGCCCTTTCTCATTACAGCAGCCCCCACAGACATTTTCCCCATCGGAGCCCATGCTGTGGCTGGACTGGTCCTTGTGTTCTTGATTATGACCATCAGGGAACTTTGAAATGGCAAAGTTTATTATCCACATGTCCTGGAGGGTACAAGGCATGCCTGGGGCCACACAGCAAGGTCCTAGGGAGAGAGCAAGATGGATCATGAGCGAACCTGGACCTGTGCTTCTGCCTTGTTGGAGTCAGTGGCTGGGTGCTTGGGGTTTCCAGTCACTATCTGTTGGTAATTAAAGACATGAGTGAGAATTAAAGTACAGGAAGGGAGAAATAAGCAGTCATCAGAAATAAGGTGGTCTGTTAGCAGGTCAATCAGAGCTTTCTGAAAAAGGGAACTTCAGGAGTGCGGTGGCCTGGCTCCTTATCTAGCTGTATAGTGGCCTGTGTTTATTCCAGTTGAAGTCTCCAAAGTGGGTGTCTCCAAAGCATAATGTCAGGTGCTTGCATTATGATAAAAAAAAGCTAATTGTCAGCTGCTAATACATATTGTCAGCTAATATTTTAGTAGTTCCCTGGTGGCTCAGTAGTAAAGAATCCGCCTGCTAATGCAAGAGACTCGGGTTTGATCCCTGGGTTGGGAAGATCTGGAGAAGGGAATGGCAACCCACTCCAGTATTCTTCCCTGGAGAATCCCATGGACAGAGGAGCCCGGTGGACTAAAGTCTATGGGGTCACAAAGATTCAGACACAACTGAGCGACTAACAAGTACATATTGCAGCAACATTGGAATCAGCCATTGCTTCAGGAAACCCTGGTTCCTCTTAGAAACAATATTAAAAAGCAAAAGCCTGGGTGAAGGGGACCAAGAGGCACAAACTTGAGGTGTAAATAAGTCATGGAGACGTCCAGCATGGTGACTGTTGTTGCTAATGTGTCACATATTTGAAAGTTGCTGAGAGTTGTCCTTAGAAATTATTATCAGAAAAGAACAAATTGTAATAATGTATGTTAAAAAACAAAAACACCAAGATCTGGGAGCTTGAATGATATTTGGTACCAATGTGTTCTTGCTTCCAGGGTCTCTCACCATGTAGAGTTAGGGACTATGTGTATATGTGTCTGTGTTTTCCCCCATATTTCTATATATTTAAATTTCTAAATATTTAAAAGTGAAAGTGTTAGTCTCTCAGTTGGGTCCGACTTTTTGTGACCCTCCCCCGCCCTGGTCTGCAGTCCATCAGACTCCTCTGTCCGTAGAATTCTCCAGGCAAGAATACTGGAGTGGGGATTCTTTCAGGATTTCCTTCTCCAGGTTATCTTCCCGACCCAGGGATCAAACCTGGGTCTTCTGCATTGCCGGTGGGTTCTGAGCCACCTGGGGACCTATTTCTGTAGACCTCTTTTTAAAACAAACAACAAAGCCTGGCAGAGTGGGATTCTGATTAGACAAAGATGTGTAGTTTGGATATATGTCATTCTCCGTTTCTCTTAATTTTTAACAGGTGGTTAAACCCCTTGTTTAAAATCGGTCACAAACGGAGATTAGAAGAAGATGACATGTACTCGGTGCTTCCAGAAGATCGCTCCCAGCACCTTGGAGAAGAGCTGCAAGGGTGAGCACAGGCAGCAGGGAGAAGGGGAGGAAGAGGGAATTTCCACGTGTGGCTGAAGGTGGGGGCTGTGGGGTGGGGCGCTTTGCCTTCCTCTGGGTCCTTCTCCTGACACTGCACGCACGCTCACCCCCTCAGGCTGACCCTGGGCTTAGCCCACTTTGGAGGGCTGACCCTGACCCGTGTGCGTTTGTGGACGTGGAGGGAGCCCGCAGTCATGGCCCTGCAGGCCGATCTCTGTCCCTGGAGGTGGGGCCCCTGGAGGAGGACGTCTGCCCTCTTGAGCTGCTCATGGTGCTGAGAATCCAGCAAAACTTGGCAGGAACTTGTTTCCCAAGACTGGGGCTCTCCCCTCAAGGTCTGTTTTTCTGGTGCTTCAGTCTGTACCACTCATCTTTCAGGAGCCCTGTGAGCAATTTGCCAGCATCTGTGGGGCAGCCACAGAGTGCCCTGTGATAAAGGCTCATCTTCCACTCCCCCCTCCCCTGTTTTCCCTTTGGTGGACACCTGTTCTTTATTGTGTTTCTCATTGCAGATACTGGGATCAAGAGGTTTTGAGAGCTGAGAAAGATGCACGGAAGCCTTCTTTAACAAAAGCAATCATCAAGTGTTACTGGAAATCCTATGTAGTTTTGGGAATTTTTACATTAATTGAGGTAAAAGCTTTTACATACAGTGGATTGCTTTTCAGTGTATGTGGTTCAGTACTGAGATGGATGAGACCTGCGGGGAGAGAGGTCAGAGGATAAAATGTGTTTATGAAAACTTGTCTGTGATGTAGCTCAGTGGTTGATGTATCTTTAGAATAGACAGATACTTATAGTACTGGACCTCTGGGGATTACTCTTTTTCCTTTTAACTGATTAAACCATAGTGTTATGGAAGGATGACACTGAAAAGAAGAATTTTATGCCATGTTAAGAGTGTTCTTGATGTTCAGTATGAATGCTAAGAGTGGTCCTTGATCAAAAGAAGATCCTGCAACCTCAAGGAGTATGTGCCCTGTGGTTTTGAGGAAGTAAACTTGGATCCGAGCCCAGGATACATGTGTGTGTGCTCAGTCGCTAAGTCATGTCTGACTCTTTGGGAAACCTTGGCCTAGTAGTCCGCCAGGCTCCTCTGTCCATGGAAATTTCCAGGCAAAAATACTAGAGTGAGTTGCCATTTCCTTCTCCAGGCGATCTTCCTGACCCAGAGGTTGAACCCACATCTCCTGCGTTACAGGCAGATTCTTTACCACTGAGCCACTTGGGAAGCTTTGAGCCTAGAAGACATTTTACAGGCACTCAACAAATGATTATTAACTTTCCCAGGTCACATCTGATAAATGGTTTCTTAAGAAGGGATTGTCACCTCTCCCCTTCCTATGGAACAGAACCTGGGGCCCTGCATCTGGGCGGGAGCTGCCAGAGCTCCCAAAAGCACACCCTTCCCTGGGCTGCCCCGTCCCCATGGGCCAGGTCACCCAGGTCAGAGCCCTCCTGTGGGGAGGAGCTCCAGCTTCACCCTAAATTCTGTGCACCCTCAATGCTGGTTTCTGTCCCTGACTGTGGAGCTGGCCTGCTGGTTGAAGGAGGATCCTGGTAGCCTGGCATTGTCAGGGGGTGGAGGAGGGGATGTGCAGGGCAAACCAGAGGCAGAAAGCTGTGAGGTCAGTGACCCCCGTGACCCTGAAGATCCTGGGTCAAGACCCCGCAGAGGACAGTCCGCCTGGGGACACAGTGCCGGCAGCCCCCTGTTCTGGCTGAGCCTGCTGGGGGTCTGCTGCAGACCCCCCTGGGTGGCTCGTGCTCTCTGTGGTCCCTCAGTGCTGCCTTAGGGACACGGGCGGCCTGTGAGTGTGTGAGCAGGAGGGATGGAAGAGGCAGCTGCTGTGAAAGGGGTGTTTTAGGTGGAGAGGGTGGTGAGTTGTCCTCAGTCGATTGTGTTGGGGTGAGGTGGGTGGGCCGGGTGGCAGGTGGGCGGCGTGGCTCTTGTTTAAAGGCTGTGTTGCACTGCGGGCAGTGGGCAGCTGGGTAGGTGAAGCCCACCCCACACAACTGGAGAGACAGGGAATCTGTCAGCTCCCAGGTGACTGGGTGGTCCTGGGAGGTTTAATTCTTGATGACAAAGGTGGGTTGGCCTTTGCTACAAGTGAATGAGATTGTGACTGTTCTGATGACTTAAGTTCTAAACATCCATCCATGCTGTTATGAAACCATTCCAGACTGGCTCCTTGAGATGGACCAGGGGAAAGGCAGTAGGTCATGGATAGTGGCTGTGTTGGGACATGGATAATCTGCACAGAGGTGGAATCTTCTATGTTGTTTTTTTTAGTACATGTGCCAAGTTGCTTGCTGAAAGCTGACATCCCCATGAATCTGGGAACGTATCTATTCAGTGAGAATGAGAACCCCAGGTCAGTTACTGGAGTGTGGAGCAGTTCTCCTGTTGTCTGTTTACACTTTCCCACATGCAGGGTGTGTCCCAGGCCTGAGGTCTTAGGGTGGGAACTAGACAGTCCCTGGGAGGGTAGCAGATTCATCAGGTGAAACTGGGCTTTCTCCCAGGAGGGAGGTTTCTTGATCTTGCTGTGTTGCAACCTTGGTGGTTTAAGGCATAAAACTAGACAGTGGCCTGTATTCCCTAGGTGACTTTTCCTATATTCCTAGGTGACTGGCTCATTCTACATTTGTGTCCTTAGGACACTGGTAGAACTCTTAGTTCTGATTGGAATTCGGGGACTTCATGGTCATTAAAACTCAAGGAGAAGTAAACCTTGAATTTTTTGTTGTTGTTGTTGGCAGTCAAAAGAAGTTTGAAATCTAGCATAACACTCCTCTTTTCCTTGACTTGCCTTTTGACACCCTGCTGTTTTGGAGAAGTGAGAAATCATTTCTTATGATGAAGCTAGTAAGGATCTGATTTTAGAACTCATTTTCAGGTACTCTTGGGTTTTCAGTGATTAAAGCTACTGAGAAAAGTACAATGAACGTTAGTTAAATAATTGATTTTATGAAGCAGCTTTCCATTTTTTTATCTTCTATCTATGCTGCTTGCTGATCTGTGTTAGCTACTGAAAGATCTAAACTCAACCCAGGATTCTCTAAAATGCAAACATGTTTTCTGTGTGACCTGCAGCCCTCTTTTGGTTCATCTGGTACACAGAATGCTGCGTGGATCATCCACGATTCCCACGCAGTGTGCTCTGACCACCCACAACACAGGCAGGGCCTTCCCTTGAACTACTGGCAGCAGCACCAGTGGGAAGAGGCAGGGTGATGTCAGTCCAGGGCGAGGTATTTAGGGTTAGGATTTCAAAAACCATGAAAACCTCTCTCCTGTGAGTATTAGGAATGACTGTAAGGGTTGGAGGAGCTCTTGTAGGCCGATGCTAATTAGAACAGAACAGCCAGTGAGCTCCTAGCGCGCCTGGCCCCTGTGTGCACCTTCATGGGGACCATGGGTGGGGAGGACGGGTCTCCGCCTGCCCAGATTCCTCAGGGTGGAGAGGAGGAGCCTGAAGTCTCTGCCTGGGCCTGAGTCACGGAGACCACCTCCCCAGGTCATCAGGGCTCCTCTCTGAGAGGTGAGGTCTCCACTGCTGGTGTGTAAGTAGGGTGACCTCAGAGAGCCAGAGTGGGTTCACCCAGTCCCTTCCCCTGAGAGGAGAGGTGTGGCCAGGGTTTATGTCCTCTTTCTGGGAACCTTAGAAATGGCTTGACCTTGTCCTGACACTTGGTCTTTGCTCAAGGCCATTTTTGCTGGTTGTCTCTGTTTTAGGTGGAAGCTGTAGGAACACACACGTATTTGTGTAAATTTTCACTTCGGAGCTCAGCCGATGGGCAGGAAGTAAACAGAATCCTCTGCGTCCCAAAGTGGGCTTTATGCTTCAATTCAGGGCTGGTTCCCTAAGAGCTGAGTGGTCTTTGCATTTATTTCCCAACCCTCCTTCCATGTGACCCTCACTTCTGCTCCACCCAGGAGGCTGCTGGTAGCAAAGAAACTGTGGGCCTGGAGTAACTCCTGAGCGCCACACAGCAAGGGAGAGGAGGAGGGAGAATTGAGCAAAAGCAAGACAGGAACCTGTAGAGCAGACCTGCTGTGTGCACAGTCCATGGAATTCTCCAGGCCAGAATACTAGAGTGGGTAGCCTTTCCATTCTCCAGGGGATCTTCCCAACCCAGGGATCAAACCCAGGTTTCCTGCATTGCAGGTGGATTCTTTACCAGCAGAGCCACAAGGGAAACCCATTAATACTGGAGTGGGTAGCCTATCCCTTCTCCAGTGGATCTTCCCAGCCCAGGAATTGAACCAGGGTCTTCTGCATTGCATGTGGATTCTTTACCAACTGAGCTATCAGGGAAGCCCCTCTTAAGAGCATAGCACTAGCCATTAGGTGTTAGTAATATCCACAGTGATGACCTTGAGGTCTAAATGAGGGGAATGCTTTTCAATCATTTTTGTTTTTAAAAACATGTTAATTTTTATTAAATTTTTTTTCAATTTCAGTATGGTAGACTTACAATATTATGTTAATTTCATGTATATAACACAGTGATAAAACATTTCTGTACATTACAGAATGCTCACCCTATTAAGTCTAGTTACACTCTGTCACCATACAGAGCTATTCCAATATTATTGACTACATTTCCTATGCTGTATGTTACATTCTCTTGCCTTTTTTATTTTATACCTGTAAAATTGTACCTTTTAATCTCCATCACCTATTTCATGAATCCCCCTAATCTGTTTTCTTTTTGAAGTTAGGAAGTAGGTAACTCATTTTTACAAGACTGCATTTATAATGGATCAGATTTCAAAAATCTGGCTAGAACTGATAGTTTTCATTACTGTCAGTAAAAGTTAGCTTTTATGAATGACTTTTTCTCAAGAGTTTTTGTTCTGCTATGATCACCTGTGAGCAGTGACGAGTTGTCCAAGCTCTTTGGGAAACCAGCCTCTGCCATTAAGACTACAATAGGTCTCTTCCTGGAAGTTCTGTATAGTAAAGTGATCGTAGTTTACATTTGTTTTGATGATGGTTTCAGAGCACTCTGAGCTGTTGTAGCTCATTTAGTTGTCCCAGGATTCCTCCGAGGGAGGCAAGGTATTTCCATCGATGAGGACCTGGAGGTGCAGGAGGGCACAAGAGGGGCCTGGCGTCATGTGATTCGCAGGTGGCCAACCTGGTTTCTGAAGCACAGTGTTTTGATTCCTAGACCAGGGTTCTCTTTGTTCTGTCCTGAGATTTCTTCTCCTTCCACAGCCTCACTGAAGAGTCACAGGTTTAGTTGCTAAGTCGTGTTGTACACTTGCAACCGCATGGACTGTAGCCCACTGAGGCTCCTCTATCCATGGGATTTCCCAGGCAAGACTGGAGGGGTTGCCATTTCCTTCTCCAGGGGATTGAACCCAGGTCTCCTGCATGGCAGGTGGATTCTTTACTGATTGAGCCACCAGGTCACAGAGCCAAGACTTTTTTCTGACAAGAGCATTGTACTCCTCCTTCTGCTGCTTCCTGCAGTGTGGAGTTTTCTTTTTCCCTGAAGATTTTAAGGAACATTTCAAAAATAGAAGAATAGAACAAGGTAGCTGAATGCTTTACCCTGGAATCTGCCTTTTTGGAGTAAAGAGTATTTTGAGCTGACTGTTTTTTTGAGAAGTAGACACAGGAAGGAAATCTCCATTTGTAAGGGCTTCTTCTGCTCTGTACCTGAAAGAGAATGTTGGCCCTGAAACACAAAAGCATTTTGTCAGTGGAGAATGGATTTGCATAATGAATCTTTCTTGCTTTGTTTACTCTGGATTGCCTATTAACCTCTCATGAGCCCCCTCTCCGGTGCCCCACCCTTTAACTGGAATGTCAGGACTTGAGTTCATATGAGTTTTTCTTGGAAGTATGATAGATCTCATGGAATTCTGATTAAAACCCTTTGTGGTCCTTGTAAATCATTCACAGCCGGTCTGTCGTCCCTCTAGGCTCAGATGCTTTGACAGTGTAGGACAGGAGGATAGCAGATGCTTACATGGGGTTAGTTTCTGCATCCAGAATCTTCCAGGGAATGAGGACTTCAGTCTGCATCCCTAATTTGTTGTGAGTTTTGGGAGGCTTCCCTGACAGCTCAGTTGGTAAAGGATCAGCCTGCAATGCAGGAGACCCTGGTTCGATTCCTGGCTTGGGAAGATCTGCTGGAGAACGGATTGGCTACCCACTCCAGTATTCTTGGGCTTCCCTTGTGGCTCTGCTGGTAAAGAATCCACCTGCAATGAGGGAGACTTGGGTTTGATCCCTGGAGAAGGGAACGGCTATCCCACTCCAGTATTCTGGCCTGGAGAATTCCATGGACTGTATAGTCCATGGGATCGCAAAGAGGTGGACACGACTGAGCAACTTTGACTCACTCACTCAAACCAGTTTCTGGGGGCTGGGCTACAGCCCTCATTGCTCTCAGCTCCTCGTGAGTGATGCACTCAGCATGAAGTCCACTGTGTAACAGAGGAGTGAAGACAGATAGACTGAAATACTGATGGTTTAATTTCCCCAAGTTCACTGCTTTCCCTCTTAGCTCTGGATCTTTCTCAAGTCTAACATTGTTGTCTCTTCTCCAGTTTCTAAAGATTAACTGCCTGTTCATTTTCCCATAAGCTCACCTGCTTATTTCCTTCTGTGTTAGATGGTTTCTACTTCCTGTGTTTTCCTTTTTCTCTCATGAATCAAAAATAACAGAGTTGGGCAAGAAATGTTTAAAGCAGCACATGTGGAATCATAGATGAGGAACTGTACCCACTGGAGAATTTCTAGCAGCAAGCTGTGTAAGAAGTTTCCCTAAAAACAAGAGATAGGGTCACATGGGAGGTGTTCTCCGGAGGCTGAATACCAAGGACTCCACCAAGAAATGTCTGCTTCAGAGACTTGAACCTCGAACCATGGGGCATTGTGGTATTATATTGGGATCTTGTAAAAATCCTTTTTGGCTTTGTGGTTGTGAAGAATTCTTGTGAAGGAATAAAAACTATCTTCTCAGTTGGTTTGTGGAGCTGTAGTTTGGGTGTCAAATATGAAGGGATCATAGGAGTAATTTTGACCTTGTTCCTGTTTATCTAGAAAGTTTTCATGTGGCTACTTTCAACTTTGATACTGAATGTTTTCTCAGTTTTATTTCTCACTCAGTTGAGGGTCTAGGGTCAAAAACAGAAGAGTGGACACTTTGGGTCATGGACCAGATATACTCCTTAATCAGACTATTTGATCAACTGGGGTATTCAAGTTGGCCTCAGTGAAAAAAATCAAGATGCTAAGGCAGTAGTGATTCTTATTTTTAAAAAACTCATTTTTGCTGAGTTTGTTACTTCTGTTGGTATTCTCTTTGGTGGATTTTCAATGTTAGGCTCACGTGGAGAGCTGAGTCACAGACAACAGTGATTCCAGATATAATCATAAGTTTTAGGAAAGTTTGGGATGGCGGCTGTTAGCACTGGGCTTCTGGTGGAGAACCCCAGGGTTGTAGGCTGCAGCTCTGGACTGCTCTGGGCCATACCTGGGCTGGGACTGCCCTTGTGTAGTTTGACATTCTTGTTTCTCTGTGTAAGCCTTCAGACTTCTATCTCAGTAAACTCTATAAACAGTGTGTTTTGCAATATATGATGTGAGGGGCTTTTTAAATAAGCTCTTCATGCCCCTTGGGATGAATCATGGGGCTTGCTGGAAATGTAACAACCAGCCTTTGTGTTCTTGGGCAATCTTACTCTTATCTGATCATCAGCTAAACAACGTTAACCTTCTTTTCCCTATTAGATGAAACCTTCCATGACCTTGTGGAAGGCAAGGCAGTCAGTGAATGTGTGGGTTTGTGTGTGCAGAGCAAGATACAAGTGTTGGGCTTCACTTGTTGCATTCATTTGAAGGATGGAGACAGCTTTCTGTGAATAATCTGATCAGGCATTAGTTGACTGAGCAGAAAATACGTGTTCGTTTTGTTTGCTGATTGAAGTTTTTGATTCTCCTTCCCTTCCTCTTGCATGTGGGTTCTTCAGCTTTGGACAGACAGAGCTATCAAAAGCAAACCCGTCAATGATTTACCCTGTCTGTATTATTAAGGAGGGATTGTTTAAAAGGAAAATCCGAATTCTAGAAAGATTTCCGAACTTTTGGCATTTTGTCCTTTGAGAATTCTGGAGGAAATGGTGTTTTTGAATTCTGGAGAATTCTGGAGGAAATGGAGGCCGAGGTGTTCACTTTTGGTGACTTGGATTTGTTGAGTGTTTGGTTTTCCTTGGTGAGAAAGAATGGGACCTTCACGGGGCGACAAGGGGGCAGAAGTAGGTTGTGGGGTGGAGTGTCCGTTTGGCAGAGTGGGCAAGTATTGCAGTTTTTTTGACGTTAGTTTTGGGAAGGAAAATTGTTTTCCCTATGCCATACTTAAGATATAAGTCCCAATGCTTCCCAACTCACTTGTTTAGAATTGTAATTTTTGCCTTGGGGAAAGGATTATTGGTTAATATGTATTTTAAACCAGTACCTGTAGTGTTTGGCAGATGAAGAACCATGGATGACATCATTTTTTTAGCTTGGCTTCTGCTGTATTTAATTTTTGGCTCCAAGGAATATCCCAGCTCCTGGGGTGGAGAGACAGTGATACAGTGTACCCTGGGGCTGGGTTCCTGGGAACCTCCTAAGCCTGCTCTCTTCGAGAAACTCTAGCAGAAGCTGGGCTCCATTCTCTTGATCCCTGTGTGTGTAGAGTTCAGGTTTGGAAAGAGGGGATCTGTTTGTGCCAATGTCTCAGTTCATAAAGGCTCTTGATGAGTGTTTTTTTTTTTTTAAATATTTATTTTTTTGGCTTCTGCAGCAGGTCTCAGTTGTGGTATATAGGATCTTTAGTTGTTCAAACTCTTAGCTGTTGTATGTGGGATCTTTTTCTTTGACCAGGGATCGAACCTGAGTCCGCTGCGTTGGGAATACAGGGTCTTAGCCACTGTACCACCAGGGTAGTCCATCTTTAGTTTTTGATGTATTTATGGGGAGGCTGACGATCTCCGTGTCTTACTCCTGTGCCGTCTTCTTCAGCTTCCCCTCCATAAAGGCTCTTAAAGCTGACAGAGACGGCAAGAGTGGTCCTCCCGGCAAGAGTGGTCCTCCCATACGTGAATGACCTTGAATTTCTGTTGGGCTGGGACCAGAAGAAGCAGGCTGCCAAAAGGGCTTGTTCATATGGAAACAAATTTCTTACCTTATGCTCATCTGAAGCCAAGACTCACTTGGTATTTTGCCAAATGTGTTCTAAAGCACTGGTTTATTGAGCATCCACAATGTACTAACCACGGTGTTAGTAACCAAGGCTTTATTGTCTTTATCACACTTTTGCTTAGGTTAAAACTGTTGTCTGTAATAAAAATAAATGAAAAAAAAAACTGTTGTCTGCTTGTCTTATAGAAGATAGTGGATCTGTGGATTTTTTCTTCAGATTAACTAGGAAAGTTGCATTTTGTCAAGATGCCTTTTTAAGTAATAATAAAAGTAAAGCGTGTGTTAAGAAAACCTGGTTTGGGGCTTCCCAGGTGGTGCTAGTGGTGAAGAAGTCGCCTGCCAGTGTAGGAGACCTGAGAGAGACCCGGGTTCAATCTCTGGGTAGGGAAAATCCCCTGGAAAAGGGCAGAGTAACCCATAGCCTGGAGAATCCCATGCACAGAGGAGACTGGCAGGCTACAGTACATGGGGTCGCAAAGAGTTGGACATGACTGAAGTGACTTACCTCCCATGAATCCAATTAGCTTCAATCTCCCAACTAGATTTTATGATTGAAGGGTTTGAGGGCTGAATAAAGTCTTTACGCTATGACTGACCGAAAAAAAAAACAAAAAAAACCCAACAAACCAAAGCCTAAAAGAAAACCTGGTTTGGCTTGTATATCTAATGAAGATTTTTTAAAATTTGTTTTTAGGAAAGTACCAGAGTAGTTCAGCCCATAATTTTGGGGAAAATTATTGGTTATTTTGAAAACTACGATCCCTCTGATTCTGCTGCTTTGTACGAAGCCCATGGCTATGCCGGGGTGCTGAGTGCCTGCACGCTTGTCTTGGCCATTCTACACCACTTGTACTTCTACCACGTCCAGTGTGCGGGGATGAGGCTGAGAGTAGCCATGTGCCACATGATCTACCGCAAGGTGAGTGTCACTCGGGACCAAAGTGTGTACCTCTCATGAAGTACCAGAAGCATTTTGGGAAAGTTCTCTGTCAATTGCAAATTTTATAACTAGTAAAAATCGTGAATCACTATTGTACACGTGTCACATATAATATTGCACATCAAGTATACTTCAGTAAAAAAGTAAGACATATTGTACCCAAGAAAAACATTTTCTTTTAATGATTATACTCGTTTACACCGTGCTGCGGGCGTCCCTGTAGCTCAGATGATAAAGCGTCTGCCTGCAATTCGGGAGACCCAGGTTTGATGCCTGGGTTGGGAAGATCCCATGGAGAAAGAAATGGGAACCCACTCCAGTACTCTTGCCTGAAAAACTCCATGGACTGTCCCCTGAGGAGCCTGGTAGGCAAAGAGTCCCTGGTGTCGCAAAGAGTCGGACATGACTGAGCGACTTCAGTTTGACTTTCACACCATGCTACTGAAGTTTGCTCTTTGCATCCAGCCAATTTTGTTGTTTAAGCAAATGTTACAAAAACATAAGAGATTTGTATTGAGATCAGGTCAGGATAGCTTTTGATAACTTTTATTCACAGGCTCTTGCATAATATTCAGTAAATTTATAAAGAAGTCTATAAGCATCAGAGATATGAAGTTGATTTTTAATGTTTTCATGCCAAAATCTCATAGTGGTATTAATGGAAATTTTGTTGTTGTTCATGAAAACCTTTATTTACACAAAGCTGTATTTACTAGAAAGCTTCTGTAATTGAATCTATAAAATTAAATCTAGGAGAAAAGAATGTATTTGAGAAAGGGAATAAGATGCTGGCTACAGCATCTTATTTTTTTCAAACATCGCATCTAATCATATTCAGTATAATTATGTTTACTAAAAAAATGTAAATGGAATCCATGCCACATATAGACTCACTCATCGTGTTATATAGTTGTGATTGTTCATAACTAAAAGAAAAAGAAAAGAAAGCAGAAAAGAAAAAGTAAAGAAAATAGATGTTTGGATAAAACTTAAATTTTCATTGTTTTTAGTAATTTTAGAGACAATTTGTTGGTTGCCATTCATTTAGTTTTTTTCATAATAGATTTTCTTTTTTTCTTTAGTTAGCATTACAGCAGTTTTAGTATGACCTGGTTTGATGTTTTTAGTGCTTTTGTGCTGAAAAATACCCGTAAAATTATTTCATAGGTTACCCTGGCCTTAACTAGTGTAAAGGGAGTGAGGATTTCAAGTGGATTTACAGAGAAATTGCCAGTGTCAGGAGCTGAAGTGCCCTTTATAAACTTGATCCTGGATATCTCTGCCCTGTTTACTTTTTTAAGAATTTTCATTTGACTGTATTTATATACTTTAAAATTTACTGACATAGCAGACACACACAAAAAGGACAACAACATCGTCTGTGTTAAGTGGCTTTAGTAATTATTTGCCATTGTCTGTATCAGAGCATCATGTTGTACACCTTAAATATATGCAATTTTTATTACAAAGCAATTAAAATTGTCATTGAAGTCTAAAGCCAAACAGTTTAAATTGAAATTATCACTTCTTTCATCTAGTTGCTACTTATTTAGACTTCTGCTTCCTGGGGGTACATTTGTTGGCAAAATGTGACTTGTCTCCTCATTTTCCCTTGGGCGGAGTCTTGTTAATCTCAGGGCTGTGTCATCCCTGGGGGCCTGGCGTCTCACTGACTGTGTTTGACTCCAGCATCTGAGCCATTTTCCTCCTGGGTGATGTGGAAATGGCCGTGGTGCCCCTACACTCTGGTCAGGGGTCTTCCTTGTCATTCATCACATTCTTTGATATTCTATGATATCATCTGCTATTTAGGAGATAGACACTCTGATTCCCAAAATTTAGCTAGATGTTTGTGTTTCCAGATCATGCTTAGCTCCCGTAAATAAATAGGAAATTTCACCAGACCTGCATTGTAAAAATCTTTTGTTAGGTCTGATGGTTCAGTGAAATAAAGCTCTCTCTTGGCTGCACAGGTGAGCCAGGGTCCACCTGTTTTTCTTCCTCTTCGCACTAACACTTTGGAACATTGCCTTTGGGAAATCCAATCTGGGCCTGGCACATTTGCTTGGATGAATGTAAACATCTCCCAAAGCCATTAATTTGCTGGCTTGATTAGGTTAAGAGAATTGTCCCTTTACGAAGTCAGGTATTGTTGGGTTAACCACAGACATAACCAGAAATTCCAGAAACGTGAGAAAGAGCTATTTCCTCCTGCACAGCTTTGCATCTAGGATCCCGCTGGGGTGCCGGCAGACTGATTGCTTAGGGCCAAAGCTGGTGCTGCCTTGGAAGGACTGTGGTTCATGCTCAGGCCCCACCTCCTGATCTCTGGTCCTAGAAAGAAATCAACTTGGGTGTTATAAATGGCTGCTAAGTCCCAATGATCCTTTGGGATATATCACATATACGAGTGACTTATTTTATTTACCTTTTGACTGCTTTGATAAAATTACTTTTGGTCATTGCTTTTTTTAAATAAAAAATTGTAGTAAAATATACACAACATCAAGTTTACCATTTTAACTTCTTTTTAAAAAATTAATATATTTATTTGGCTGCAGCAGATCTTCGTTGCAGCATGTGCGATCTAGTTTTCTAACCAGGGCTCAAACCTGGGCCCCCTGCATTGGGAGTGCATAGTCTTAGCTACTGCACCACCAGGGAAGCCCGCACTTTAACTCCTTTTAAGTGCACCATTTAGTGACATTAGGTCCGTTCACGTTGTTGTTCAGCCATCAGTGCTATTCATCTTCAGAACTTTTTCATCATCCCAGACTGAAACTCTACCCATTAAACACTGACTCCCCAGCCCCTCACCACCATTCTACTTCTCTGAATTTGATGACTCTAGATGATTCAGGTGTCAGAATTCAATTCCTTTTAAAGGCTGAATAACATTCCATTACAGGTCTATACAACATTCTGTGCATCCTTTCATCTGTTATTGGACATTTTGGTTGTTCCTACATTTTGGCTGTTGTGAATAATGCTGCTGTGAACATGGGTGTACCAGTATTTGTAAAGTCTGTTTTCAGTTCTGAGTGCATCTCTAGGAAGTTGAATTGCTATACTATATGCTAATTTTATCTTTAGTATTTTAAGGAACTTTCAGAATCTATTTTATTGTGATGACATTATTTTACATTCACACTTGATCATTGATCTTTCTGTTTGATTTGAGGACTAAATGAAAAGTTTTTATGAATATGACATTTCATTTGGATTAGTGACTCCAACTGGTGGTCTGTTGAAGCAGCTCATGGTGTCTATACAGATTCCTCAGATCTCTAAGGCATTTCTTTTCAAACTTCTTACCAAAAACCGGGATTATGCAACATGGGCTGTGTTTTTTGTGAAGTCAGCTAACTGGCATTAAGAACACAGATCCTTCAAAGGAATAGTGTTTTAAACCTTGTTGTTGTTCAGTCGCCTAGTCATGTCTAACTCTTTGCGACCCCATGGACTGTAGCACACCAGGCCTCCCTGACCCTTACTATCTCCTGAAGTTTGCCGAAGTTCATGTCCATTGCATCAGTGATGCCATCTCATCCTCTCACGCCCTCTTCTCCTTCTGCCCTCAATCTTTTCCAGCATCAGAGACTTTTCTAAGGAATCCGTTCTTCGCATCAGGTGGCCAAAGTATTGGAGTTTCAACTTCAGCATCAGTCCTTCCAATGAATATTCAGGGTTGATTTCCCTTAAGACTGACTGGTTTGATCTCCTTGATGTCCAAGGGACTTTCAGGAGTTTTCTCCAGCACCACAGTTCGAAGGCATCAGTTCTTTGATGCTCAGCTTTCTTTATGGTCCAACTCTCACATCCATACATGACTACTGGAAAAACCATAGCCTTGACTATACAGACCTTTGTCAGCAGAGTAATGTCTCTGCTTTTCAACACACTGTCTAGGTTTGTCATTGCTTTCCTTCCAAGAAGCAGTTGTCTTCTGATTTCATGGCTGCAGTCACCATCCGTTGTGATTTTAGAGCCCAAGAAGAGGAAATCTGTCACTGCTTTGACCTTTTCCCCTTCTATTTGCCATGAAGTAATTGGCCCGGATGCCAGGATCTTAGTTTTTTTTAGTGTTTAGTCTTAAGCTGGCTCTTTCCCTCTCCACCTTCACCCTCATGAAGAGGTTCTTTACTTCCTCTTCACTTTCTACCATTAGAGTGGTATCATCTGCATGTCTGTGGTTGTTGATGTTTTTTCCTCCTATCTTGATTCCAGCTTGTAACTCATCCAGCCCAGTGTTTCTCATGATGTGCTCAGCATATAGGTTAATGAACAGGGTTTAAACCTTATACTGTCTCCTTTTAGAAAATTGTCAAGAGTCCCTGGTGATACTCCCAGCATGAGTCACGTATCACCTTTATAGTGAGACCAGTGTCTTAATTCCTGTCTGTTTATGGTTGTGGCATAGAAGGAGTACTACCTCAGCTTCAAATCTCAAAGGGTAATAACTCCCCCATCTTAGAGCATGGGAGGTGGACCTGGGATGGGGAAAGATGAAAACTTAAAGCAAGCTGAGCCTGCACTGAAGATAGTTGTCAATCTCCAGCCCAAGTCATTAGTGAGAATGTATCTCCCATTTGCTAGTCCTGTCCTTGTCTTCATGCCGGAATGCTATGGTTCAGACCTGGGGCAGGCAACATGACAGTGTCACTAATCGGGGTGGTCTTGTCATATGGCACAGAGATTTTAAGAAGCATGTTTCCCCACGGTGAGTCCTGATAATGGGTTAGTTTGCTCCCAATGCCAGGTAAAGCCAGAGCAGATAGTCAGGGATGTCATTGAATGTTCTCTGCTGCCTGTTACCCAGGGCAGATTTACCTGCAGAGTCTGATCCGTTTGCCAGATTTCTTAATGTGACTGATACCTCATCCTAATTCTCTTTAGTGTTTGTTACCCAAAGGGTGGTTTGCAGGAGAGATTCCTCATTCGTTGTTTCAGTTTCTAAGATGACTTGATTCCCTGCAAAC